TCAGCCGGTGATCGACATGAGCCACAGCACGGGGGACATCACGGCAGACGTCGCCCGCCTGCTGGTGCCGTTCCTCGGCCTCCTCCTGCTGGCGCTTGTGCTGTCGGCCCGCCTGGAGGACGCGACGTCTGGGGTGCTGAGTCGTTCTGTCATGAGCATGGCCTGCGGCGTGGTTGCTGGCTTCTTGATGCGGGCCTGGATCGCTCCGAGGTACGGTATCAATCTGCAGGCGTGGCAAGACCGGGTGCTCTCTGACGAGTCCATGGACAAGGTTTGCCATCCCTTCATCTTTCTGTTCATATTTCCTTACCTGTTCTGGCCTTCAGGCTGGTTTGCAAGAGTCGATTATTTATGCTACCATTGGCATTGGTTAGTTCTGTGCTCGTTAGGGCCCATAGTGAGCACAGTCATCACTGCACAGCTTGCGCACCAGGGGCACCTTTGGTTCCGGTCGTTATTCTACACTTCCGAAGAGCTTGCCGGCTTTCCAATCGATTTCCGATCGATATGGTTGATAGCGGCATGCACCAGCATCATTGATCCAACGCCGCTACTTTTTGCCATGGGCGACCTGAAAGTCCCGACCATACTGTCTGTCACCGTGCTTTGGGAGTCTTTGTTCGCCCCAGATACTGTTATATATTTAGTGGAGTTGGCGTCTGTTCCCGATGTGAAGTTTGACGGCTTGAGTTTCAGAGCCGTTTGGCACCTTCTGGGTCCGAGCCTAAGCATATTTACTGAAATTGTTCCAAGTGTAGCATTTGGATTCTTAACGGGCCTGGTTTTGAGCGGGATTTTACGGACCAGGTGGTTGCGTGCACGTCCTCACTGGGAGGCTATATGCATCGGATGGGCACCAATCCTTGCACACGCCATTGCGACCGTTTTTGGCCTTTGGGGGATATTGGCCGACATTCCTTGTGGCATTGCCATGGCACTCTACGGTCGCAAGCAGCTGTCAGAGGAGGGCCTAAGCTTGGCGGACAAGGTCGTGACTCAGAATACCATTTTAGTTTGCACTGCTTACTATTACATCATCGGTATGTACTTTACCATGGTGACTCGGGGGCTGGGCGCAGTTCTTGGTGTCTGGATGTTTTTGTGTGGACTGTTTGGCAGGCTTGGAACTGTCACGACCTGTGTGCCTCTCGTGGACGCTTTTCAGCGGCTTCGCAGCAGGCCTCGCCCAGCGGAGGACATCGACAGCGAATACAGGACCAGCCGACTTAGTCTCATGTCTGTGCTTATCCAGCTGGCTGCGGCAAGCCCCGCCACCGCACCGAGGCAGCAGCGCAGATTGAAGGATAGTGAGTGAAGCACTTCCTCCTCCTCCTCCTCCTCCTCCTCCTCCTCCTCCTCCTCCTCCTCCTCCTCCTCCTCCTCCTCCTCCGTCGCCTCCGTTTACACATCTTCGAGCCTCTCTTGGGGCTTCTTGAGGGCCTCTCGGGAGCCTTTTGGGCCTGTTTGGGAGGCCTCGGGGTGGTCTGTAGTGAGCAGCTCTGGGCTGCCGCCTGGAGGTCTCGTGGGCCTCTCGGGGGCGTCTCTTGGGGGGCTCTGGAGGCAGTCCTGTAGGCAAGGGCCGTCAGGGCCACCTCGATTTCCCCCCCCGTCTGGAGGTCTCGTGGGCCTCTCGGGGGCGTCTCTTGGGGGCTCTGGAGGCAGTCCTGTAGGCAAGGGCCGTCAGGGCCACCTCGATGTCCCCCTCCTGGGCCCCTCTCGGAGGCCTCTCGGGCCGCGCCCCGGCACGCAGCGGCGCGCCAAAAAGCGGGGTCGCTTGCGCCGACGTTGGCGCGCAAGTTGCCCGCGTCAGGTCGCGCGTGAGCGCCCTCGTCGTCACTGTGGCGCGCCGCGCTGGCGTTGGCTGCGGCGTAGGGTCGCTACGTCATCTCGCGTGAAGCTCGGTTTCGATCGTCGTTCGAGTGCTTTTCGTGGTTTGGGTACGTCCCTGGTAAAAGGTTTACGGCCTCCTGTCCCCTGTAAAGGTCTCCACGTCATTCGCAGACGTCCAGTGATCAGACAAAACAACTCACAGGCGGGATGGACCATGTTCACCTGCGACAAAGTCGACCCTCCATTCTGATGTTTTTTTGTGTCGGCAGCTGCGGCCGCCTCCTGGGGACCTCTTGGGCGATCGTAGGCTTTCGGGAGCTAGAAAGGGCCATTATGCGCAAGTCTGCACAAGCCCTAAGGGTAAGCAGTGTTCTCTGCTCTCGAGGGCCTCTTGGGCATCCTCTTGAAGCCTTCTTGGGTTGTCTTGGGGGACTGGGGCAGTCTTGAGGCCATCGTGGGACCTTCTTGGAGCGTCTGAAGGCCTTCTTGGGCGGTCTTGGGACCAACTTGGAGGTTGTTTGACCATCTTGGAGCTAGCTTGGCTGTCTTGGGGCAGGTTCTTGCCCTTTGAGATTTCTTCAAGTGAGTTTGGGCGGTTTGGGTTGCTCTTGGTTGTTTGTTCTGGCTATGTCGGCCGTGTTGGTCTGTCGTGGTATTATGATTCATATGTTCACCCCCCTCGGCCGAAGCTTCTTTTCGGCCAGAGCTTCTCCAACAACTATGTTGAATCGTAAAATGGCTTAAACACTGACCCACGGGGGGGGGCGATTGCCTACGGCAGGGTGTGACCAGGAGATGGTGTCGGCCTTGGAAAACAAAGAAAGAGCCTTACCAGAAGAGCTGCTTCACCCTCCTGGGCCAGAATTCGCCAGAGTCTCTCCAAACAGTAATTTGGCATGGGGCATACGTTTTCTATACAGATCGGGCTGTAAATTGCAGTTTGGCTGTGATTGGCTGATCTCCCCCCCCTCTCGGCCAGAGCCGCTTTTCGGCCATAATACCTCCAGGCAGTAATCTGGTGTCGGAAGTTACTCCTAAATCGGCTCCGCAGAGAGGGCACGATTTTCGGAGAATGCGCATGGGGACGAGATGGGGTCGGCCGCAGACAATACCGACGAAATTCTACCAGGCAGCAGAAGAGCATTCTAACACGCTCCAGCGTGCACAAGGCACGGTGGCGGGTGTTGGGACAGACGAGAGGCGGAGTTTGGTTTGCTCTGTATTTCAAGTACGCTATGTGCCCTCAAAAGAGACTGGTTGTCGATGCCATTGTGACAGTCTGGTTTCTCTCCTTGGTCTCGTTTGGAACGCTGCCGCGGATCCTCTATAAGCGTCTTGGCATGCCCATTGGTGCGGATCCCCACAAATATGTGGGTGATGGTGCGGCATATGACGAGAATTGGTACAGGGCTCACGTTTTCTTTCGCCCATTCCTCATGCTTCATGGGTTTCTCGACTCTCTGTTCGGCGAGGCTCAGGCCGCGGAAGCTGCTGCAACACAGGCAGCAGCAGAGGAGGCTGCGAACGCGGGAACTTTGTGGATGGGCGATGCTTCAGTGCCACATCGGAGAAATGCACTGCGGGAGCGCTTCCAGCAAGCTGCTTGGTCACTTCGGACTCATTCATCTCCAGCTTCGGGGCGACTCGATTCTGACGACTGGAGCATGGAGATGGCTGGCAGCGCTGAGTGGGATCAGGGCATACCAGCCACAAGACCTAATCCTTGAAGCGCCTCAGCGGTGAACGCCGAATTCTGCTTAACCATTCGAGGCTCTCACGCCTCGACCTCGATCCTGAACTCATCTTGCCGCTATTACAATAGCACCCAGAAATGTTTTAAACAACCGTTTAACCATGATATACGGCATGCGCCGCGCAGGGGATCGGGAGGAGGAGGAGGAGCAGGAGGAGGAGGAGGAGGAGGAGGAGGAGGAGGAGCAGGAGGAGTAGGAGGAAGAGGAGGAGGAGGGGCGGGGCGTCAGTTGGCTGAGGGCATAGCGATGGGTCCCAGACGTCGACGCTCCGATGCTTTCCACGCGGGCCCACCCGAAGTCCCGACCCTTTCCCAAGAGGCCGTCAAGAGGCCCCCAAGAGTTCACCAAGAGGTCACCAAGAGGCCACCACGAGGTCACCACGAGGTCACCACGAGGTCCCCAAGAAGGTCCCCAAGGAGGCCCCAAAGTGGCCCCAAGAGAGCCCCAATAGCCCCCCAAAAGGTCGCCCAGAGGCCCCCCGGGTTCGGCCCGCCCTCCCGAGCCACGCCGGGCGGCCCGGGGGCTCTCCCCACGGGCCTCCAGAGGCCGAGCGTGGCCAAAAACGTTCCGCCGTTCTGGACGCCCGAGATGGGCCCGGAAAGAATGGGTACGATGTCCAACAGCAGTTCCCGTTCATTCTGAACAGGATTCGCTGTCCACGCCGCCGCGGCCTGTGTCCATTCGAGACAGAAGGCCGCCTGCCCAACAGCGGCCGCTGTTGGTTTGGGACAGCGTTTGTTGTTGGGCATTGTACCCATTCTTTCGGTACCCATTTCGGGTGTCCAAAGCCGTTTCTTGGGGGGGGGGAGAGGTCAGCCGCCGAGGGGGCCGCGTGCGAGCCCTGCCCCTACCCCCCACGACTTCTGAGGGGGAGGGTGGGGTTCACTTTTCGAAGTGGACCTCACCCTCCCCCTCAGAAATCGTGGGGGGCAGGGGTTGGGCTCGCACGAGGCCCTCTAACCCGCTGCTTTGGAGCACGCGCGGGGGGGTGGGAGGGGCCCGCCTCTCTGCCAGCGAGGCTCTGCGCCAGACCACCGCAGGGGCGTTGAGGGTCCTCGGAAAGAGAGCACATCAGAGCATCGATGGCACCCATAAGCACAGCAACAGTGGCAATGCTCCAGCAGAGCACCCTGGGAGCAGCAGGAGTGAAGAGGCGGGTCGAGGAGTGGGGGGCCGGCGAGTGACGGGCGAACGAGGCGATAAGGCGGAATCGTCTGCGCCGGCATTGGCGCGTAAGCGCGCAAGCTGTCCGAGCAAGGTCGCGCGTAAATGCCCTCGCTTCAAATGTAGCGTACCGCGCTGTCGGCGCGCGTAAGCCACCGCGTAAGGTCGCTGTGCTATCTCGCGTAGATCCGCTTCTTTTCGTCGCCCAGGTGCGAGAGCACGCCCATGTGCCCCTCAGCGTATGCCCCTGGAGCGTGTCACGGCAGGGGGGGTTCTCCCGGATGCAGAAGAGGGCCACACACACGAAAGACCCACAGGCGGGGGGCGGGGAACCCCAGGACGCGCCGTTCCCGCGCGACCGTTTCGCTTCAGGCTTCCTCGCAATTTGTTCAGGAGGAAGAGGAGGAGGAGGGGGAGGAAGGAGGACCAGTGTAAACCCAAGAGTCATCAACGATGTTCGAATTAACCTGCTTCAGAGGCCCTTCATTCATTCCCATTGAGGGAACTGCCTCGTTGGAAGACAACCGTTTGAAGACTTTGAAGCATTCCCAAACATGGTTCTCGGGATTTCAACGCCACGGATCAACCTGACTGCTGCGTCCTGACGACTTAGAACCGTGCCAGAACGCCATTGTCGGGACATCGACACCGCAGATCAAAATAACTGCTGCACCCGCAAAATTCTGAATCCTTCCCCAAACACCATTTCTGCCACGCTGATCGTGGGGATCCGCGAAACTCTTGTACTTTGGAAAAACAAATGTGCGCGGCGCTGAGGCGAGAGCCACATTTTGGAAAGGAGCCGCCCCAAATTCGCGAAATTCTTCTTTTTCTTAATTCTAAAAAGGAAAAGCGAATATGCGCGGCGCTGAGGCGAGAGCCACATTTTGAAAAGGAACCGCCCTCCCCTCAATCCGGGAAGCTCTTGCAAGTTTTTGAAAACGGATGTGCGCGGCGCGAAGGCGAGAGCCACATTTTGAAAAGGAACCGCCCTCGATCCGCGAAGCTACTGCAATCAGTTTAAACGAATGCGCGCGGCTCGAAGGCGAGAGCCACATTTTGAAAAAGGAGCAGCCCTCAATCCGTGAAGCTCTTGAATAAGTTTGAGACGAATGTGCGCGGCGCTCAAGCGAGAATCACATTTTGAAAACGACCCGTCCTCCATCCGTGAAGCTCCAGCAAATTTTTGAAGCGAATGCGTGCGGCGCTAAGGCTAGAGCCACATTTTGAAAACCACCCGCCCTCCATATGTGAAAATGTTGCCGTTGTTCAAGCTTCAGCGTCAGAACATGTGAGGAAGCCTCAGGCGACGCCTGGCCCGCCCCAAAATCTGGCTTCGGGGCGCGACAGGGAGAAGTTATTCATAAGGAAAAGGAATGGAGGGAGGAGGAGGGAGGACGAGAAAGAAAAAAAAAGAAGAAGAACAAAGCAGAGCGTTCTCGTCTCGGTGTCAGCTGCACTTTTGGTCCGGGCGACCACGGTCGTTTGTCAGAGTGCAGTCAGATGTGGCCCTGCTCTCACCCTTGTCCCTGCTGCATACGTTCTTTCTCCTGGCCGTACTTCACCTGTTCCTCGACCCGCCCCTTAGCTGTGGCTGCCATGAGGGTGCTGTGCTGGGGATTGTGGGGAGAGCGCGATTCTGGAATAATTTAGCGAATGGGGTGCCAGACCGGGAGTCCTAGGAGGGCTCCCACTTCCCCATGTGGGGCTCTTCTGTGGACCGTTGTGCATCACTAGTATAACACGCACAAGACATCATATAAAACATCAGTATTCCGTGACCCCGAAATACGAGCTTACCATTAGGGTTTATCATTTCCCATATCAGGATGCGTCATTCCCCTGATTAGCGATACCACCTCTATGTGCGGCTCCCCTTTAACGAAACGCTTTTGCTCGGCCTCCAGGGGCCGTTTCCACTGATAAAGCACATGTGGGGGTGATCCTTGGAGGCCCCCATACGGTGCGGTGACCACACCGTGTGGTTAGTCAGTGGGGATTCGTGGTGTCCGAAGATGATGGTGATGATGATGACGATGATGATAATGATGATGATGATGATGATGATGATGATGATGATGATGACGACGACGACGATGACGATGACGATGACGATGACGATGGCGATGATGTTGATGATTGTGGTGTCGATGACGACGATGATGAGGATAATACCAGCGATGATGAGGGTGATGATGTTGTTGCTGCTGATGATGGCGATGGTTATGGTGTTGCTGATGCAGATGTTGAAGTTAATGTTGATGTTGACTTTGATGATGACGACGATGATGAGGATGATGACGATGATGACGATGATGATGAGGATTATGATGAGGGTGATGTTAATGTGGATGCTGATGCTGCTGGTGTTGATGATGATGTTGGTGGTGATGTTGCTGCTGCTGATGATGATGGTGATGATGATGGTGCTGCTGATGATGGTGACGGTGATGCTGATGCAGATGATGCTGGTTATGATAATGTTGATGATGATAATGCTGATGTTGTGTTGTTCCAGTGTGCGCCTGGCCTCGGCCGTGCGCGGCCACGCCAGCCAGAAGCGGTCCGCCAAAGCGAGCTAGTGCAACACGCGCGCGCTGCAGGTGCAGAACTCGGGATCCATGCCGGCCGGCGTGCAGCCCTCCTGGGTCGCGGGGTGGGTCGCGGGGTGGGTCGCGGCGCGGGTCGCGGCGCGGGTCGCGGCAGGGAGGGTCGCGGCGGGGAGGGTCGCGGCGGGTTGCGGCGGGGGTGCGCCGCGGGGGGGGTCGCGGGGAGGGTCGCGGGGTGGGTCGCGGGGAGGGTCGCGGGGTGGGGGCCGCGGGTCCCGGCATGCAGCCCCCCGCGGGGAGCGCACCGCGTGAGCTGCGCCGCGCCGGCCACCCGCAGGCGGCCGCCAGAAGCACCCGCGTCCGCCGTCGGCCTCGCTCGCGGGCGGGCGCGTGCATGGTCGGCCACCGCACCGCGCCGGGGCCTCGGAGAGGCGCTGGCCCAGGGAGGGATCTATCGAGAGCCCGTGTGGGCCAGCGACGTGGGGGGCACGGGCCGTCAGGGGTCTGCGGAGGAGGGGGGAGGGGGAGGACGTGCGCGGCCGTTGCCTTCTGGGGTGTTTCGGGGGTCGGCGCCGCGGCTGTATCCGCCCCGAGGTGCTGGTGAGGCCGCGCTCGGGGAGGGGCTATGCGACGTATACTTGATTTCCCTGAGGTCCGACGTTGCCGAACACAAAATACCACACTACGAGAGATCGCGACTGGAGCTTTGGGCCCACTTTCCTGCGGCATCCAGCTGGGCAGATCCGAAAGGGCCGGGCGGCCCGAAACGCCATGCGCGAAACGCCGGGATCTCAGGGCTTCAGTGGGCGCATCAGATGCTTCTTGCGTAGCCCCCCGCCCTTGCGGATACGATTGAGCCTCGGATTCCAACAGATTTGCGATGGTCGTTCACCTACACCGGGAAAGTTGCGAAATGGGTCGCGAGCCACAGGATACCCTAGGGGGAAGACAGAGAGGACCTTGCCGACCGTCCAACACAACCCACTGGCAACACGACCCCTGGGAACACCCAGCCGCCTCGGATTCCAAGAGCCTTTGCGACGGTCAGTCGCTTCCACCGGAAGAATGTGAAGATAGCCGCGAGTCGCCGGGTGAGGGGCAGGGAGAAGACAGAGAGAACCTTGCTGACCGCCTAACACAACCCACTGGCAACACGACCCCTGGGAACACCCAGCCGCCTCGGATTCCAAAGGACTCTTGCGACGGTTAGTCACCTACACCGGGAAGAGTGCGAAATGGGTCGCGAGCCGCAGGAGAAGGGGCAGGGAGAAGGCAGACGACCTTGCCGACCGTCCAACACAACCCACTGGCGATCCAACAGACTCTGCGACGGTCAGTCGCCTCCACTGGGCAGAGTGTAATGATAGTCGCGAGTCGCAGGAGGAAGGGGAGCCCACCGCTGGGGAGGAGACAATCGAGGAGACCATCGAGGGAGCGTCTCCTCCCTCCCTGCCCACGATTCCTCGAGATGCGACGGTTAGTCGCCTACACCGGGAAGATTGCGAGATGGGTCGCCTCCACCGGGAAGAGCGCGAAGCTAGTTGCGAATCGCAGGAGGAGGAGGAGCAGGAAAAAGTCAGGGAGGACCTTGTCGACCGTCCAACACAACCCATTGGCAACGCGACCTCTTGGCACGCCCAACCGCCTCGGATTCCAACGGACTCTGCGGCTGTCAGTCGCCGCCACCGGCAAGAATGTGACGAGAGTCGCGAGTCGCAGGGTGAGGGGCAGGGAGAAGACAGGGAGGATGCTGACCGTCCAACACAACCCGCTGGTAACGCGACCCCTGGGAACACCCAGCCGCCTCTGATTCCAACAGACTTTGCGATGGTGGTTCACACACACCGGGAGAATTGCGACGGGGGCCCCCGGCCGTCACCCGCCGCTGGCTCCTCCAGCCGATGGCGACCCAGTGTCCGATCTGCGCTGGTCCAGCCGTCCCCGCACGTGCCGCTTGCCCGTGGAGACGGGGCGGGCCTGGACGCATCGTTTACTATCCCCTCGCCTCCCGATGCGAACGGGTCTCGTACGAACGCAAGCTGGACGCGGGCCAAGCAGCGGAGCACTCGCCTGACGAGTCTGCCTCGGAGGACGGGACGCTCGCGGACGATCCGCTGGCCCTCGTGGAGCGGGTCAAGGCGCGGCAAAGGACGGGCGGGGCACACCAGCGGCATGATTTTTGTCGCGCCAACAAGGCGGTGGGGGGCCCTGGCGCCTACGATCCCGCGCGCCACGAGCCTGGCGTCCTCCGCCGGTTTCTAGCGCTCACGGGGAAACGCCCAGGCTGCTACGACTATTTCGAGTTGGCCCTCACCACGCTAAGCCGCCGTTCTCTTATCGCGCGCGTTCGGGGCGTCATTCGCTCGTCCCCGGATAGCCTTGCACAGTGGGGGTGGCACACTATCGACTACAAGAAGCCTGGCAAAGGCAGAGCCCAGCCCTACATTGTACCCCTGCACGTCATCGTCGCTTTCATGCGTGCTCGCGCCGGGCGCGCCGGGCACGAGAGGACGTCGGTTTACGTCCCCGTGGGCGCGGTAGCGCACTGGGGCTCCCACCTACGCTGACCCGCTCCACTCGAGGCCTGGAGTGCCTACGGCGGCCCTGGGATCCAGCCTGGCGTGCTGCCCTCCCCACGCCGGGTAGTCTTTCGCCGCGCCATAGCTGCAGCACGCCGGGTAGTCCTATGTTGCAGCGCTTATTTGCTACACCGGGGCGCCTACCATGCCTGGCGTGCACTTCCCCTCCTCTCCTCCTGCTAAACCCCCAAGCTGCAGCGGTTAGCAGCGTTCCATGTCTGTCCACGCGCCTTCATCTCCCATTGCTGCAGCGGTTAGCTGCGTTCCGCCTCTGCCATGTTCGCCATTGACGGGCACAACGGGGTGCAGTACCACGGGCCCCAGCACAACGGGGTTGTGCAGCACGTCGCCGTTTTTCGAGATGCGACGGTTAGTCGCCTACACCAGGCAAGTTGCGAAATGAGTCGTCTCCATCGGAAAGAGCGCGAAGCTAGTCGTTATTCGCAGGAGGAGGAGGAGGAACAGGAAGAAGTCTGGGAGGACATTGCCGACCGTCCCAAACAACCCACTGGCAACGCGACCTCTTGGCACACCCAACCGCCTCGGATTCCAACGGGCTCTGCGACGGTCAGTCGCCGCCACCGGGAAGGATGTGATGATAGTCGCGAGTCGCAGGGTGTGGGGCATGGAGAAGACGGTGAGGACTTCGCCGGTCGTCCAACATATCGCTGGCAACGCGACCCCTGGGAACACCCAGCCGCCTCTGATTCCAACAGACTCTGCGATGGTCGGTCACCTACATCGGGAAGATTGTGAAATGGGTCGCGAGCCACAGGAGAAGGGGCAGGGAGAAGACAGAGAAGACCTTGCCGACCGTCCAACACAACCCACTGGCAACACGACCCCTGGGAACACCCAGCCGCCTCGGATTCCAAGAGCCTCTGCGACGGTCAGTCGCTTCCATGGGAAAGAGTGCGAGGATAGTCGCGAGCCGCCAGGTGAGAGGCAGGGAGAAGATGGACAGAACGTTGCTGGCCGTCCAACATAACCCACTGGCAACACGCCCCATGCGAACACCCCGTCGCCTCGGATTCCATTGGATTCTGCGATGGTTAGTCACCTACACCGGGAAGAGTACGATATGAATCGCGATCCTGCGTCACTGGAATCAAGTATTACACCGGGACTGGGTGGTGCGGTGCCTACTGGCTGCCTTAGGCCGGCGTCACACCACCCACTGCTGATGGCCGAAGGGTTCAGTGGGCTCCGATTCTCGCGTCTCCTGCTTCTTATTGCCGCAGCGGTTAGCTTCCACAACGGGTTACTTACCGTGCCTGGCGAACACTTCCCCTCCTCTCCCTCGTCTCACCGGGTTTATTCCACGCGGCTGGGGTTGCCGCCTATACCGCTGTCTGATGGTGATCTGACAGCATGAATTCCATGCAAGGTTCACAATGGGAACGGGCGGTCAGGTGGCCCCTGACCTGCTCCTGGCTGGTGTCGGCCTCCACTGGTGACCCGAAGGGCTCCATGAGTTCTCGCTTCGAATTCCATGCAAGGAACACACTCGGGATGGGCGGTCAGGTGGCCCCTGGCCTGCTCCTGCTTGGTGTCAGCCTCCACTGGTGACCGTTTGGGTTCCGTGGGGTCTCGCTACGCTGCCGTCCTCTTCGGTGCAAGGACTTCGGCATGTGTGGCTCTGGGCGCCCGTCGGCTGCTTTCTCCTACATGGACTTCGCTTTCGACCTGTGCCACCGGGTGTACATACAAGAGGATATGCCGTTTGCAGTCCTGTCTGTGACGAGGCTGCCCCCTCTTCACTCCGGCGCTGACACGATGCTGTTGTGTCACCCACGGCACGGAGGTCGTCCTGGAGTGCCTGTCGGACCTGCTCGTTTTTGTCGGGCCTTATGCCGACTCACACAGGGTGATCGACCTCTGCGTGTTCATGGTCGCGCCGCCGCGCCATTTTGGCTGCGCCTGATGGTCACCACCGGGATTTCCACGCCACCGGGTTGGGAGTGCCGTTCCTGGTCCTCCTTCTGAGTGGCTGCCCGCGCGCTCGCTTCGCTTGTCCGGTTTTTTTTTTTCTTGCTGCCTAGTCGCGGCCCGGCTAGTGTTCGGACGGCTGTCGGCCTGCGCCGCGAGCCCGCAGACCAAAAAGTATCCCCACCAGCCCATCCTGAAACGATCGGCAGGGGAGTCGGTGAATCAGGGTCGGCAGGACACATGCCGTTGCGCAGTTGCGCAGCCGGGCCCTCGTGGGGTTTTTGGGGGGTCTGGGGGCCTTTCGGGGGTTCACTTGGCATGCCTGAGGGGCCTCTTGGGGCCGTCTTGGACCCTTACGCTAAAAAAGAGGGGTGCCCTTAATTCCTGCCCCCCTTGGAGCGCTCTTGGGCGCTCTTGGGGCCGTCTTGGGCCCCTCTTGGGGCTATCTTGGGCCGTCTTGGGGCCTTCTTGAGGCTTCAAGAGCCCATCGGAGGCGAAACGCGAGAAGGCAAACAGCATTGATTTCCCATTTTTTGAAGGATTTTGACCTCTTGGCGGCGTCCGTGGGGGCCTCGGAGGGCACTTGAAACCGTCTTGGGGCTGTCTTGAGGCCTCTTGGACGTGTGTCGGAGGCTATCTTGACCCATCTACCGCTATCTTCGACCATCTTGGAGGCCATCTTGCGCTCTCTGAGGCCCTCTTGGAGCCATCTTGGACCACCAAGGACCCTCTGCCACCTCGCGGGGGAGCCCGTCCAGACGCAGGGAGGGGGGGGGAGGTAAACCTCCCGAACAGGGAAAGGCAAAAAGGTTGGGAAAGGAAACGCTCTAGACCACCTGCGCCGAGAGGGCTGGTGGGATTTTGAGCGATCGGGGCCGCGATCGGCTCAGAGGTGGAACGATCGACGCGGTGCCAAAAACTTTGTGCGCGCCGACGCCGCACGAGCCTACCGTGCGGCAGTCTCTCTTCTCGTGGGTGCCCGCTGTACAGCAGGCGCGCCCTCTGTCCTTCCGCAGGCGGCAGCGGCCGGGTGGCGGGCGGACCCCCGCCGGGCCCCGCGCGTGCGGGGGGCTGCCCCCCGAGGGCTCGACGACTGCTCCCCAGTCGTCGAGAGGATTCTCGACTTTGAGCTTGGGTTACGATTCCCAACTTCCTCCTGCTCCTCCTCCTCCTCCTCCATCGCCCAGGGCCTCCCTCGCCTCAAGGGCTTGACGGCTTCTCTTCAATCGTCGAGAGGACTCTTGACTGTGAGCTTGGGTTACGTTTCTCAGCCTTTGGTCTCCACGCTGACATGAGAGAGCTGACATCGGGGCAACTTTTTCGTATCCTTCGGCCCGATGGCGTGGAAACGCATTGCTCCTGATCCTGAGCGCAGAGGTCGGTACGAGCGAATCGCCGATCTGTCGGTGCTTCCATCGACTTGCGGGGATCAGGCCAGATAGATGGAGGCACATCCGTATGAGACGATGCAAATCTATATAAGTCGATGTCGGCCAAGAGGTATCCAGGCAAATCGGGAGCACAACTCGTGGACGCTCCAGTGTGAGCCGAGGGACAGCAAGCATCGTTCAAGCCCTTGCCTGGGGCATCTTTGCCGCTGTACACTCCTCTGTGCCGCAGCGGACCTCTCGTCCTGTCCAATGGTCTTCGCACGTTTCCTGTCGCGCACGCGCTGGTTGCACGTCTCTGACGTCGATCGAGCGCTGCGTTCCGATTTGTTCATTGTCTCGGATCGCGGCCACCAGGACGCGACGGCTCACGCCAGCCAAGGTTTGGCCAGCGCCGGGAAAAAACGCAAAGCCTTTGCCCAGCCGTTCCAGGCCCCCGAGCGGCTCACGCGGTGGCGCGGGCCAGAGGCCGCGCTGCCGAGACGGGAGGGGCACGGCGGCCGAGGGCAGGCGGCGGCGGCGACGGCGACGCGAGCGACGACGAGCACGAGGTCGGCGGCGAGCCCAGGGGGAGTGCACGGGGGTGCGGGCCATCTCGGAAGGCTCAGAGGGCCGGGAGGCTACTGAGAAGCCCCGCAGCCTTCTGAGAAGGCCTGCCCCCTCTCATTTCCCCCCGGGCTCGCCGCCGAAGTTCGGCGGAGCGTTGGCGGCGGCGACGACGGCGACGCGAACGACGATGACGAGGAGAACGACGAGCGCGACGAGGACGACAACGACGAGGCCGACCCCAGACATGCTCGCGTTGTGGAACACTGGCGGCGGGAGATGTTTGCAGCCCTCGCCAGGTCCCAGGACCTTCAAAACACGACTCAGGATGAAGCACCGGCCCTGGGGAAACGGGTCTGGACATTTGGGGATCGCGTATTGTCGGGCGCGGCAATGAGGGGGGTGATGACTAGGGGGGGGGGATATCATGGTGGGGGCCATGATACTTCCCCAGATTTCATGGCGCCCCTTCTTGGTTCATCACGTTCCGGGCCCCCCTGCTGGGCCGCGCACATGCCGCCGGTCATGATTTGCACCCCTCCCTCTTGGACACCCCCCTGTTGGCCGCTCACGATATTGGACAATCATTGCATTGGAGGTCTGAGACGAGGACGACGGCGGCGGCGACGATCGTGACGGCGACGACCGCAACGTCGGAGCCGACAACGACGACGACGAGGACAAGCACAACACTTTGTGGTCCCAGAGGGAGCTCCACCGGAGGTCTCAGCGGCGCAGTTCGCATGCGTCTCCCCCGCCCAGGTCAGCGCTTCGTGGTCCCAGAGGGAGCTCCACCGAAGGCCCCAGTGGCGCAGTTCGCATGTGTCCCCCCCCACCCAGCACAACACTTCGTGGTCCCAGAGGGAGCTCTACCGAAGGTCTCAACGGGGCAGTTCGCATGCGTCTCCCCCGCCCAGTACAGCGCTTCGTGGTCCCAGAGGGAGCTCCACCGAAACTCCCAGTTGCGCAGTTCGCATGCGTCTCCCACACCCAGCACAGCGCTTCGTGGCCCCATAGAGAGTTCCATCTAAGGTTCGAGCGGCGCGGTTCGCATGCGTCTCCCCCACCCAGTACAGCGTTTCGTGGCCCCAGAGGGAGCTCCACCGAAGGTCCCAGTGGCGCAGTTCGCATTCGTCTTCTCCACTTAGTACAATGTTTCGTGGCCCCGTAAAGGAGCTCCACCGAAGGTCCCAATGGCGCAGTTCGCACGTGTCCCCCCCACCCAGTACAGCGTTTCATGTCCCCATAGGGAGCTCCACCGAAGGTCCCAGCGGCGCAGATGAGCCTCCCCCACCCAGCACAGCGCTTCGTGGCCGCATAGGGAATTCCACCGCAGGTCCCAGTCACGCAGTTCGCATGCGTCTCCCACACCCAGCACAGCGCTTCGTGGCCCCAGAGGGAGCTCCACCGAAGGTCCCAATGGCACAGTTCGCATGTGTCCACCCCGCCCAGTACAGCGTTTCATGCCCCCATAGGGATCTCCACCGAAGGTCCCAGTGGCGCAGTTCGCATGCGTCTCCTCCGCCCAGCACAACCTCTCGTGGCCCCATAATGAGCTCCACCGAAGACGATATCCACAATCGCGGCACCCACATTTGCAGACACGCCGGTCGTTGAAAGCAGGTATTTCTGGATTCCCAGGTGCCAATCTACTTCAAGCGCCTTCCTACTTCAAGAGTCGGCATGATTTTGCTGTGTTTTGCTGTTCTCTGGGAGGGCCTGGACCCCATCCACTGCATCCGCCTTCCTACTCCATGTTTCTACCTACGTCTTCCGACCGACGTGTATGGTCGGGCTTGTCGCCAGGCTTTCTTTTGCTTGTTCACCGCGTGGATCCTCGACCCGTTCGCGGGAGTGGTGCCTCGTCCTCAGGTCGTCCTCGTTCGGCCTCGGGGGCCTGCGGGAGGGCCCCGTGGGGCCCGAGAGTGGCAGCTACAAGCCGAGACATCCGAGGCGAGAAGGCGTCGTACTGCCGGGGAAACGTGAGACTCGAGTATGCCGGAGCCCGGGCCTGCCGACGCTTCTCGACGAGTGCGTCCTGGAGTTTGACGCGGGAGCTCGCGACACGTTTCAGATTGGGTCTCGCCGTGTTCATGATGGGCCCGTCAGGCCAACCCGAGTCGCCCGAACCCGATGATGCGCGGCTCCAGGGAGGTTCCCAGCCCTTCCCCTGGGATAGTTTTTCCTATCGGCTGCGTGTTTGATGGTGCTGGGGCCCGACAGCGGGCCCCCGAGTGCGAATTCGAAGAGAGACGACCGATTCGAATCAAGTAGATCGAAGAACATCTGAGGGGAAAAGCGAGCAAGTACACATACGACCACCCATCGGGTGATAAGGAGGTCACTTCTGGCGACTGCGATGGGTGTGATGATGACGATGCTGTTGGCGCCCTCGAGGTTGAGACGACGCGTGATGACGATGTTGCGCCGCGAAGTGATCTCACTCTTGGCCCCGCTATCGATCTCACTCGATCGATCTCACTAGCGATCTCGCGGCCAGTCTCAGTATCTATGGACTCAGCGATCGATCATATGAGGATCTCAAAACCTCACTATCAATCCCGTCATCGATCTTACCATCGATCTCACTCGACAGATTCCAGTATCGATTTCACATTTGATCTCTGAAGCGGCCTCAATCGATCTCAACATGGAGCTCACAATCGATCCCACTATCGATCCCACTGTCGATCTCACAGTCGATCGCACGCACTATCGACCTCACTATCGATCGTACTGTCGATGTAACTATCGACCTCACTATAGATCTTACTGCCGCTCGCACGAACGATGCAACTACCGAACTCACGATCGACCTCAATATCGATCCAGCAATCGATCTCACGACTGATCTCATCACATCTCGGTCGTTATCGATCTCACTATCGAGCGGGACACCACGGCGGGACACCACGGCGGGACACCACGGCGGGACACCGCTGGACACCACTGGACACCACGGGATACCCCAGGGACACCACTGGGACAACGCGGGACACAACAGGACACCACGGGACACCACGGGACACCACGAGACAGCATCGGGACACCACGGCGGGACACCACGGCGGGACACCCTTGGGAAAACGAACGCGGGACACCACGGCGGGACATCTCCCGCCACCGCGCGCTCACCAGAGGGCCAGATTTTTGCATCCGAATCGCCCTAGCGACGGCGGGATCATTCCTCTCGCGCGCCCATGGCGAGACACCGCGGGGCACCTCGGGACACCGCGAGACACCACGGCAGGACACCCTCAGCCACCGCACGCCCACCGGAGGGCCGGACGTTTGGATCCGAATCGCCCTAGCGACGGCTGGATCGTGTCTCTCGCGCGTCCACGCAGCTTCGCCTCGCACGCACGCGCGGCACGAACACAAAGCCGACACCGATTTCCCAGTGGGAGGGGCTCTCTTGTTCCACTGCGATCTCACTTCCTACCTCTGACACAATGACTCAAAAATAATCTTTCAGAGGTTCGCGCTGATTTCTTGGATCGGCGCTGTGCCAGGGGGCTCCAGCACCGTTCCGAGAAATCCGCGCGGACCTCCGACAGTTCATGCTCATGTCATCGTCTGTTCCTCGAGATTTGTGGTGCCCCATGGGATCCTGGCGTTGCATGTGTTCGCAAAGGGCGTCTTCTTCGCCCAGTTTGCGGGCTCGAGCAGTGAAGCAGAAAGAGGGGGTCCGGGGCTCCGTCGGTGATTTTCTGAGCGGTTGCACTCTTCCCGGGACGTCGGATCTCAGGAGTGATTTGCGTCGCGACGCGAGGAGGCCCTGTGGGACGATGGCGACGGCGATTCCCACCCGCGGGGCGCCGCTGGGATGACCGCAGGGGGTTGCTAGGTGGATAGGGGGCTCCTAAGCGGATGCCAAGGTTGTGATATCTGGCTCAACATTGTTTACAAGCGGGTCACAACAAGTGCCCCAAGATAATTAGGGGGGTCAGATGACTCCGCTCAGTTGGCGGAGCCATCCTAGCCCGGATCGCCAGACCCCCGAAGCCACACGCATCAGCCAGGCTGGGCCAGACATATCCACTTTGGCATCCGCTGCCCAGACATGCGATGCCATGATGTTGTTCAGTACGGGGTCCCTTGAAGTCCCAACCCTTTCCACGGGGCTTGTTACCCACCCTGGGTAGTTTGTTAGACGGCCCCCATTTGCCCTCCATTCCTGGTGGGGGTGGGGGCGTCGGGAAACGCTGACAAAAAATCACAAGACAGCTCGCCGCTTGGGCCCCACCGCAAGCCCAAACGGCGAGCATAAATCGGGCGTGGCCCCGCACCCATTCAAATTTCCACACTTCGTCCTCGTACTACTCGTATTCCTCCCCGTCGTCCTCCCCATCCTGATCGTCGTCGTCCTCCTCCTCCTCCTCCTCCTCCTCGTCCTCCTCATCCTCCTTGTCTTCCTCTCCTCCTCGTCGTCCTCGTCTAGGACCTCGTCCTCGTTTCTCATCTTCCTCCTCCTGCTAATCCTCCTTCTCCTGGCACCTCGGTCCTCGACGCCTTCGCTGGCCCCCGTGCGGTTCCTGGCTGGCCCATTTCTCCTGGCCCGCGATCGGTTGCGCCATAGGTTGCGCCATCGGCGGCTGAGGATAAAACCGGCGCCCATCGGTTGCGCCGTGGTTTGCGCCCTCGGCGGCCGAAGATAAAACCGTCTCCTTTCGGCTGCGCCATAGGTTGCGCCCTCGGCGGCCGAGAATGAATCCGTCTCTTATCGGTTGCGCCACAGGTTGTGCCCTCGGCGGCCGAAAATAAAACCGTCTCCTTTCGGTTGCGCCATAGGTTTTGCCCTCGGCGGCCGAGAATGAAACCGTCTCCTATCGGTTGCGCCATAGGCGGCGCCCTCGGCGGCCGAGAATGAAACCGTCTCTTATCGGCTGCGCCATAGTTTGTGACCTCGGCGGCTAAGAATTAAACATTCTCCTACCGGTTGCGCCATGGGTTGCGCCCTCGGCGGCCGAGAAGAAAACGGTCTCGGTCTCCTACCGGTTGCGCCATAGGTTGCGCCCTCGGCGGCCGAGAATAAACCGTCTCTTGTCTGTTGCGCCATAGGTTGCGCCCTCGTCGGCCGAGAATAAAATCGTCTCCTATCGGTTGCGCCACAGGTTGCGCCCTTGGCGGCCGAGAACCCGTCGCGTAACGGGTGGGACCAGTCTTTTCAGTTCAGTTTAGTGAATTTTCTTCGCGAGAAACAAATTCCGGCTACGCCCGAAAACACATGTGGAACCCGTACCCCCCCAACCCGAAATTTGGGCCTTTGGGTTGGGTTGGGGTGGTCTGGCATCGGCGGCGAGCAATATGGGGAAGTGAGAAGGAGAAGGCCTTCGCAGAAGGCGGCGGCGCTTCTCGGAAGCCTTCGCGCCTTCTGAGAAGTGTTTCATGTGTCTTCCGGAAATGCTTATACACAAGGCTTCTCGGAAGGCCAGGGGACGCCCGAGCTTTCTGCGAAGGTCTCGTCCTGCTCCCCCCCTCCCTGCCGGCCAAAAAACAAACGACACCACCCCACCCACGGCGCTCCATGTTGCGCTAGCGGACCATCAGGAGCCGCCGCGCATACCACGCAAAGAGCGAAGCCAGCGCTCATGGCACATGTTGAGGCAACGTGGGGCCGCATGGTCCTGCCAGCAGGTGGCAACGTGGGGCCGGGTGGTGCTGTCTGTCTTGTGGTCCTGCCAGCAGGCCGCGGCGGCCCTCGCGGAGCGGGCCGCGCCGCCCCGCGGCCGGAGCCGCGGCCTCGCGGGCAGCGTGGCGCCCGGGGACGCCCGGGCCCCGGCCGGCAGCCGGCGGGCGCTCCCCACCGCCGCCGGATCGGCGGCGATCGGCGGCGCGCGCGAGGGCATCGGCCACGCGCAGACAAGAGATGCAACGCATGGGCAGAAATCACGACGGAGGTTTTTCACAGCTCTCGGCCCGTATGGGGCCCTCGCCGGGCCTCGGGGCCGTCAAAAAAAACGACTCAGGATGAAAAAACGGCCCTGGGGAATGGATCGAGACTTCCGGGGACCCCCGTATTGAAGAAATCACGGCATCGGATCTTTGGGTGATAAGAGTGAGCCCTCGCCGGAGTGGCCTTTGGTGCGGGCTCCTCGGTGCCCCCGCGATCGGCGAGCGCGGGGCGACAGCGGCTGCCTGTGCGCTCGGATCTGGCCACCTCGTGCCCCCCTCAGTCCGCGCACTGATGGGTCCCTCTTGCCCAGGGTCGCTCTTGCGTGCGGCCGAACGAGGGCCGGGCGCCGCGGCCGCGGTGACATTTTCGTCGTCGTCGTCGTCGGCGGCGGCGTCGTCGTCGTCGCCGCCTCCCTCCCTCCCTCCCTACCTCCCTCCCTCACCGCTCGTCCTCCTCTCCCCGCTCGCGTCGTGAAGAAACTGCACCAGGGTCCAGGAGCCCCGCCGCCTTCTGCGAAGGCCTGTCCCCTCTCACTCTCCCCGCCGAACGACGGCGGATCGTGCACGCGCTGGTTGCGCATCTTTGACCCTGATCGAGCGCTGCGTTCCGATTGTCCGTTGTCTCGGATCGCGGCCACCAAGACGCGACGGCTCACGCCAGCCAGCGCTCGGCCAACGCCGGCAACAAAACGTTGAGCCCTGACCGAGCCGTTCCAGACTCCCGAGCGGCTCACGCGGTGGCGCAGTCCAGAAGCCGCGCTACCGAGACTGGAGGGGCACGACGGCCGAGGGTAGGCGGCGGCGACGACGGCGACGCGAACGATGACGAAGACGAGGTCGGCGGCGAGCTCGGGGGGAATGCCGGGTGGGCGGGCCATCTCAGAAGGCTCACAAGGCCGGGAGGCTATTGAAAAGCCCCGCCGCCTTCTGAGAAGGCTTGCCCTCTCTCATTTCGCCCCAGGCTCGCCGCCGAAGTTCGGCGGAGGGTGGGCGGCGGCGACGACGGCGACGCGAACGACGATGACGAGAAGAACGACGGGCGCGACAAGGACGACAACGACGAAGACGACCGACCCCAGACACGCCCGCGATGTGAAGAAACCGCGATATGAGTTTTTCAATCCGGTCGGATTTCCTCGATTTCGGTCTCCAGGGGCCGTTATCGGCCCCCATGAACCATCAATAACGAAGCTGGGGCACGAAACGACCCCCGGGGAAGGAGTCGGGATCTCTGGGGCCGCGGACTGAACAAATCAGAGCGGAGGGTGTCAAGGTCCGACGATCTGTATGTTGACACGGCCCAGGACCTGCCAGATCTCCAGTTCCTGCCAGATGTCCCGCTGTTCCGCACGAGCTCCAGAAACGAGGGCCACTGGATTCTCCAGAGCTCTGGAAACGCATCCTGCGCCAATCGTAGTTCTCATGATAACTTTCTTCTCCTCCTGCAGTCGACCCGCATGGGAAGGATGGGCAGCCTTCCCCAGGGTACCCTTGCCTCCTTCCCTCCTCGGCCCATCCTTGGCCACGGTCGTTGGCCGCGCCCCGCTCGCACAGTCTCGGAATGGCTTCCCAAGGCCCTGGCATCCTTCTGGCCCGCCTTTCTTCTATTGGTCGACTGCAATTACGTATCACGAGAACCTTCTTCTCCTCCTACTGTCGTCGTCGTCGTCGTTCGTCGTCGTCGTCGTCGTCGCCGCTCGTCGTCGTCGTCGTCGTCGTCGTCGTCGTTCGTCGTCGTCGCCGTCGCCGCTCGTCGTCGTCGTCGTCGTCGTCGCCGTCGTCGTCGTCGTCGTCGCCGCTCGTCGTCGTCGTCGTCGCCGCTCGTCGTCGTCGTCGTCGTCGCCGCTCGTCGTTCGTTGTTCGTCATCGTCTTCGTCGTCGTCAGCGGCGGCGGCGGCGTCGGCCTCCTCGGGCGGGCCGCTGGCAGCACTCGGCGGCTCTCGCCGTCGGCGGCCTCCTGCGTCACCGCGGTGGCCCCGCGGCGGCCCTCGGCGGCGGCGCCTGAGGTCTTCTTTGCCGTCGTCGCTGGCGATCGGTTGTCGAGGATGGTGGTCCGATGTTCTAGGCCTCCCAGATGGTGTCCGAGATGAGGGGGTCGGAGGATCGCACCGCATCGCCGGTGCATCAGCGATGCGGCTCGATGCGGAGCCCGTGTTTCCCCTCGCGACGTCGCCGATGCATCGCCGACATCGCCGACGCATCGCCGATGCATCCCCGATACATCGGCGATGCGTTGGCGATGTGGCGCGATCCTTCAAGCCTATCCACTCGGACCCCATCTAGAAGGCATCTAGATGCTCGAGGAGCGAGGGTGTTGGACGCGTTCGGCCCGTACTGGTCCGTCTGAGGCCTCTCCAGGCTTCTGCAGGCCTCTTGACGGCCGGGGGCCTCTGAAGACCCGAGGCAGTTTCGGGCTCTTGGCGTCGGCGCCTGGACGTGTTCCGCCAGTTTCGGCGCAGGGGTGCCAGCCTCGGTCCCCAGTGCCATCTAAAATCAGTCCAGCACGGGACAAATGCCTTGGGGAAGGGTCGACCAATCTAGTGGCTCATGTTGCAAAGCAAATGTGCCGCTGGATGTCTGGGGCTGCCGCCGTTGACGCCGCAGACGCCATCGCCGATCGAGTCCGGGGACCAATGTTGATAGGGTTTTTGTCGGTTGGTGGGGCAGGAGGAGGAGGACGACGAGGAGGAGGCGGAGGAGGAGGGGGAGAAGGAGGAGGAAGGATCTGTTCCTCCCGACCGTGCTGACCACTGTTGTTCGTTTTGGATGGACTGCTGCGTCGCACGTTGGTTGGCTGACGGGTACCAGGATGGTAGCCGTTCTTCAAAATACTCATCCAGGCATGCTTAGAACGCTGGTAGACATAGTTTGCTACGGAGCGCTCGCTGTTTGAAGGGTTCCCTGGGAGTCCAGGGCATGAGCGTCTGGGACAGCTTCCCCGCACTGGGAGCCGACTCGGGAGGCCCAGCAGCAGCTCAGACAGACGCGAAAAGTTCAAAGCGGCGGCGCCGCTGCTTGCTGCCCACGTTCTCGGAGGTTTGTGGCCCCAGGAGCGCCTGCATGTTGCAATTCCGGTGGATTCCCCGCTGTGCCAAGCGTGTGAAGTTGATCTGGGCACGACGGGACGTCGTCTGTTCAGGAGTGTTTTCCAGAAGACGGTTCGAGACAGTTTGGACCTGGACGATGTCATTCCCGCTTGGAAGTGATGTGAGTTTCGGACCCCTTGTTACATCGCGGACTGGTCGCCTCCGCTTGCAGCCTCCTCCAGGCCTTGACGGACCCATCCGTCACGATAGCCCAATTCAGAGAGGAACGGTCTGAGGCCTGGAACCATAGTTCGTTTTCGCCACGAAGCCTACGGCTGCGCATTCTAGCCGAATTGGACGGGTTTGCGCCGCCCCAGATGCACATGGGTATTCTAGGGGAGCGGTCGTCGGGTCAGTCCCGACGGCGTTGCAATATATTGAGTTGCCCGAGCTGCGGACGTTTCAATGGGTGGCTCTGCAACTGTAAAGGATCCGAAGACAACGGTCACCGATTGTAGAACTCTTGCCGATGGAGTCGCGGTTGAGCCAGCAGAGTGCTGCAGCCCCATGAGGAACATTCTAAGATATGCCAGAATGTTGGGCTCCAGCTGCACAGTATAGGCGTCGGCCAGGCCGCATCGATCTGGATTCCCTCGCACACATCTTGGAATGGGACTCGGACGCGGGGCGCGCGCGTGACTTCACCTTCATGCCAGTAAGATGTCTGATGGCTGTGCGAAGCGAGACGCCAGATGCGACCCCGCTTCGGAGGTCGGCGAATACAAGCAGCCCCTTCTGCGGTCGGTACCTCACTCTGCCTCACTCTGATCTGGTAGATTATGGGCCACCTGGCGGCCGCCTTCTTCCCTGATGCCTGGAAGCCCAGTCTTCGTCGTGTGCTCGACCTTCTCAAGCCGGGGTCGGATCGTAAGGGGCCTCCAGTAGAATGGAGTGCGGGCCATTCGGGGTGACTTTGGCGTGGGAAGAACTGCAGAGCCCATGCTCGGCTCGTGTATTTTCGCTGCCCTGGAGTGACTGCCGGCCTTGCGCGGGCGCGTCGCTCACCTCGTTTGCGATGGCTGAGAGGGGTGGGCAGGTTGATGAGCTGCTCAGTTTGTGTGGCCCTCTTTTGGCGCAAGATTTCCGCCACAGGCGAGGAGTGCCCGCGACGCCCCACGAATTGCAGGAAGCGTGCCTTCTTCAAGGGTCTCAAGAGGGACTTGTGGAGCTCACCTCCCAGCAACTCATCCCACGTTCTACTCCAGTGCAGCCCCGCTCGAGCCTCGTCAAGTTAGGGAGATATTGCCAACTCGGTGAGAGATCATGGTCAAGAGAAGGAACACCACCTGCTAGGAGAAATCCTACTTGACGGATTGTCAGCTGGCTTTTCATGGGCCATGTGGCGGAAGTTGTATTCGGCCTCAGCTGGTCGGCAGTGGCGTGGTGGCACCGTGGACGGACCGAGGACATGAGGCGGTCCTGGTGGGGCTGCCTCCATATGAGCGGCAAAACGAAGAGAAGGACAGCTCGACTCGACTCGGCTCTGCCTTGCGCGTGTCGTGGGACGTGTCACCGTGCACATGTGAGCGCTCTGCGTGCACAACGCTTACCTCGGACGATCGTGCACTTGTACACGAGGTTGCGTGGCAACGCGCGCCCTGCACCCTGGATAAACATGCCGTCAGACCGGTCGCTCAGACACCAACTATTGTCTGACGAGCTGGGGCGGACGCCCCGCTGGGCCTCCTCGGGGCCGAGCGGAGGAGGAGGAGGAGGAGGAGGAGGAGGAGGAGGAGGAGGAGGAGGAGGAGGAGGAGTACGACGACGACGACTACATCGGCATCACATTGTCTTTTTCTGGAGGTTCTCCTCGCCGCAACGACGGCGGCGACGACGGCGGCGACGACGACGGCGACGGCGACGGCGACAGCGACAACCCCTCCGCCGTGGTCCTCGCACGGGGCTGCGCCGAGGTGATGATCACCATGACGAGCGGCCGCCTGGAGCCCCCGGGGCGTTGGATCGGTCTCAGCCGGTCCCTCGCCGACGCCTCCCGCTTTGTCGCGCCGCCTCCCCCGCAGCTCCCCCTCCCGTCGCCCGCGTGGCCGTGCTCCGCCGCTCCTTCTTCCTCCTTTACGACGCTGATCGGACCTGATGTGCGAGCTTGTGGCGTTAGCCGTCCTCCTCATCCTCCTCTTCCTCATCCTCCTCCTCCTCCTCCTCCTCCCCACCGGGGTGGCGGGTCTTTCTCTCCTCTTTTCTTACCCTGCTCCCTCGCACGCCGTGTTTCGCAAAGCCTCCAAAAAGACCTCCTCTTCCTCGTCCTCCTCCTCCTCCTCCTCCTCATCTCCCCCGCGTCCTTGTCTTCCTGTTCTCCTCCCCCCTCGCCTCCTCCTGCTGCTCCTCCTCTTCATCTCGTCTTCCTCTTCCTCCTCCTTCATTTTGACGTTGCGCGGACCTGGATCGGATGATCGTGGCGCCTTGTGGCCAGGAAAAAAGGGCGAGGCCGACTCAGGCCGACTTGCCTGCAACGAAGGTTCCCTTGGAAACTCGCAACAAGAAGTATATGTGTGCACGCCCATCGGGGACATGAGTTGTCGCGCGCGCGTGCTCCGCGCTCGCGCGCGCGAGATCTCAAGACGCCCCCATGGCCGCAAAATGGTTCCAAGAGGGCCTGAGGCCACATACGGCAACGTCCAGACGCCCTTGGGATGACGCCACCCCAACACGATCCCGCCATGGATTCTGGACCGTCCCAGGCCGACCCGAAGATGACGGAAAACACAAGCCACGAGTGACGCCGAGTTGGCCCGATGGCAACAAGATGGATCCAAACGCGCCCCGTGTGGCCCCATAATGAACACGACGGTTGTGCGATCCAAGCATGACCGAGATATGATCTCAATATGATCTGAAGACGACCCTGACATGCCAGGAATACGCTGCAAGTTCGGAGCCCCATCTTACTCCAAAAAGATCCCAGCAATGCGGGGTCCGTGGACGACCCAGCATCATTGTTTACCCTCTTTCTTAATGAGTGGATCTTAGTCTGGCCGAGTTGATATTATAATATTAAAGGGGAGTTAGTTAGGCGGGATCCCGCCTGGCCCACGGCAGAAGGCTACGTTGCTAGGCTTCTACGGCGGGTAGGGGTTTTCGGACAAGGCGTCAGTTAACCCCGTGCCTCCGATAACAAATCATGCTTCCCTTAACCCCCTGTATTTGTATTACCCCGTGTCAATAGGATTTAAGTGTGGAGAACGGCGTGGAGGCCGAACTTGATAATCCCTGGGGGAAGTTGCGAATCGAAGTTGCTATCATCTTATGTTGACTTGCAACCTATGCTGACTAGCAACAGCATCAAACAAACGCTGAGCATGGCAATGGTGGTCTCACCATTTCAGCGTTCGCAACCACGGGCGTGTGGCAGGGCTATGGGGTTCTCATCATTTCAGTTTTCCCAAGTCACGAACGTGCGGCAGGGCCGTGGGATTTTTCTTCCTCTCCCTTCTCTCCCTCCTCCCCTTGTCACCCCCCTGGCCTCGAACTTGTTTCGGGGTCCTCTCTATCCCCAGAAGGTGCCCACCATGGACACCCCCACATGCGAGATTGATAACGACTCAAAAAATCAGCATTTACAAATAAAAACCTAAGGTTCCGAATCCAAGCATGAACTTTCTGTAAATTAATCCTGTGGCCATTTTCCGCTCTCTTCCTTCTCCCACCCTTTTTCTTCTTTCCGGCCTTCGAGTACTACGACCACTAATTCTTTTACGGCTACTACCACTACTACTACTACTACTACTACTACTATTACTACTACTACTACTACTACTACTACTACTACTACTACTACTACTACTACTACGACTACTACTACTACTACTACTACTACTACTACTACTACTACTACTAACTACTACTACTACTACTACTACTACTACTACTACTACTACTACTACTACTACTACTACTACTACTACTACTACTACTACTACTACTACGACTACTACGACTACTACTACTACTACTACTACTGCTGTGTTGCTACTACTTTTACTACTACGACGACGACGACTACTACTACTGCTACTACTTCCTTCCTCCCTTCGAGTACTACATCTACTACTACTACCACTACTTTACTACTACTACCACTACTACGACGACTACTACTACTACTACTACTACTACTACTACTACTACTACTACTACTACTACTACTACTACTACTACTACTACTACGTACTACTACTACTACTACTACTACTACTACTACTACTACTACTACTACTACTACTACTACTACTACTACTACTACTACTACTACTACTACTACTACTACTACTACTACTACTACTACTACTACTACTACTACTACTACTACTACTACTACTACTACTACTACTACTACTACTACTACTACTACTACTACTACTACTACTACTACTACTACTACTACTACTACTACTACTACTACTACTTACTACTACTTACTACTACTACTACTACACTACTACTACTACTACTACTACTACTACTACTACTACTACTACTACTACTACTACTACTACTACTACTACTACTACTACTACTACTACTACTACTACTACTACTACTACTACTACTACTACTACTACTAACTACTACTACTACTACTACTACTACTACTACTACTACTACTACTACTACTACTACTACTACTACTACTACTACTACTACTACTACTACTACTACTACTACTACTACGACTACTATTACTACTACCTAGACCACCCGTTACCGAAAATATGATGGTCATGCTCTGGACGAACTGGTCGCGACCGAAATTTGGCCTCTG